TTTTTCGAAATCTTTCTCTGAGGGCACAGTTATGGAGCTTCTGACGCCTGGAACAAACTTTACTTAAGCGTTTTCTCAAGGTCATAGTTCTCATCTGGCGCTCTACGAATCTACTTTATAACATCTATAAACTTAAAAAGTTGTATTGCATAAATACTTGACACTACCAGGATTCCAACACAATTATACCGAGCCTGGCTCTTGTGTGTACCGTGGGAGCAATGCTGCGTCGGAAAATATTTTAAAGATTATACTCAGTGTAATACTAATGCATAAACTGACTGACAAAAGCTCCAAGAAATCCGCACGAATGTACTTTATTTACTTATATTGATTTCAGCTAATTAACGACCGTACTTGAAAAGCATACTGTAAACAAACTGTAATTCGTAGATTGTGCCTGCATAAATGGTGTGTACCTTCTCTGGCAGAAATATATTTCTATTAGTAGTAGTATGGTCAGTAAAATTACTGAAACCAATATACTGAAACTTGTTGAAAGTGATAGAGATTGATTTTATTTTGTGGATGAAGTAAAAATACGGATAAGTGAAATTATATTATCTCCAAACATAACGTATTTCTTTGCAAATAATATATCAACAGAAACCACTAGACGAATTTCAGAAAAGCGAAGATAGAGATATCAATAGATAAAGTGAAGAAGCTTCTTCTCAGACGCCCGATAAATGTTTGCCTCATGTTTAACTACGGACTCTATGGACAAGTAGATGAAGAAGAGAAAGGACATCTCCTAGATCTATAATAGAACACATTACAATGAATTTTTCTACCTCTTTTTAAATGACCTACCCAATCCATAATTTACATTTCTAAACACATTGAAGCTAAACTCCTTTTCAACCCAACAGCATGATTTCAGAAAAGATCACTCCTGTATAACCAATCTGCTGGCCGCGGTGAACAGATGGACGACCATCCTTGATCGCAAAGGGAAGGTAGACGTCATATACCTTGACTCCTCAAAAGCTTTCATAGGGTCAACCGTATATGCCTTATTAATAAAACTCAAACGATTAGGCACCAAATCACCACTAACTAATCGGCTTACTTCATATCTAAGTAAACGACTTCTGAAGGTCAACGTAAACTCCACTTTTCTCGGGCCATGGATGGGATCCACCAAGGCTCAGTACTAGGACCTCTTATTTTCTTAATTTATGTAAAGGTCTTTTACAGTAAGTATCGCCAGATTTATTACTTTTCGCTAATGATATGAGCTTTGGAGAGAAATTTACGACCAAGAGGATAAGGTGGAATTTGAAGAGGATCTGACTCAGACTCAAAGCTTGGCAAACAATGACGGACTTACCTTCAACACTTCAAAGGGTGAAGTAGTCTGTTTGAGACATGTTGCACCCCAAGCTGAAAATGATCTGAGTTTTGATACCATATTGTCGCAAGTCTCGCACCAGCTGCGACATAAATGCCTTCCGAGCAGACCGTACACTGATAACGTTGAAGCGAATCTTTGGTCAGTTTGATGGAAGGATTTTCCACTTTATCCCCAACAGTTTTATTCGACCCCATTCAGAGTATGGAAACATAGTGTTCCCACAATTGATTGATCACTGGGTGGTGATCAATGTCATGCTTGTCTAGTCCTTATTAGCGCAGATCGAATGCTATCGATCATGTTGCAGTGTGGCCACCAGTCTAGGTGACTCGACACTGCGGGCACTATGTATTGATATTTAGATGGTAGTTCCTGTTAACTACCTCCAACTACCGTCTAAACATAGTGTTTCCTCCCTCACTCCAAAAATTAGAGGACAATCTGGAGTGTATCCAAAGGCGAGCCATGAAATCAGTTTGGGGACATAATAAGTGAGGAATTATAACCATATATCCTGATGACTGATTACTGAGAACGATTTTCACTTCATTATTCTTTGTTTTAGAACAAATTGGCTTGGGCTAATGCAGTTGAATATAAACAGTATTGAATAGAAAGCCACCCAAAAACCTAAACTGTCCAATAACATTAAGGCGCAAATCCAAAGAAATCATTTAGTTTACCACTGGCTTGTCATAAATATATTGGCTATTGGAAGGTCACGAAGGTTTCGTCCTTTGTTACATATTCAAACCGTCGCTACCAACCTTTGGTTTCCATTGCCGAATCTTAGTCTCGGGCCCGTGCTGGTTTTGATTGTTGTCGAATAATTTCATTCTTATATGTAAGTGCATTATGTCTGCTTACTGAGTTGTTGGGTCACTTTCCCTCCTAGTTTTCTAGTCCAGATTCTGATGTAACGTACATCAGTTACCTGGACGCAAACCTCCAAAGATGTGTGAGTTACACCTTAGTAACGCATAAGAAGCCTTAGGTCTAGGCTTAACAGTGATGGTCAGCATTTTCGGAAGAAGTCAGTGCACTTGTCAGTAATTCTGCTCACTTAAGGAAACTAAAAAGTAGTACTGAAATATAAATTCGTAATTTTAATCATATCAGTTCACTGTCAGCTGTGCACAACAAAAGGAAAAACGAAAAGTATACAGCCGGCCGTGATCTGTACCTTAGTCAGTGGATGCTAGCTGAAGAGTCTTACCATCAGGAGTTTCACAAGAGACAACTTTAAGTCCACTCCTGTTCCTGATCTTTATTAATGACTTGGATAAAATTATCTCGTTGGCACTAATACAAACAAACGATGCAAAGATCTGGAGGTCCGTAGAAAGCGAAAAGGATTCACTATGGCTTCAAAAGGACCTTACAGCAATAGGGGGAAGGGTGTATACAGCAGGTTGATAGTTAACTTGTCGAAATGTCATCTCATAAACATCCTGTTTCACTTAACACAAAGCAATTACATCGTTCATGGGAATCCGCTCCCTGTTATCTCTTAAAAACGCGTCTTGGGGTTGAACTCACAGAGCAGACATCATCTCAATATACATAGGGGACGCAGCTAAGACAAACGCAACCCCATAATTGTCCCTAATTCTCTTTAAAGCGTACCCACGGCGCCAGTCTGGGGTCCCCAATGTTGTTGCTCTCATTTTAAAAGAGAAAAATCTCTTAGACCGAGCACAGAGACGCGCAACTAAGTGGGTGATAAGATTAAGATATAAATCTTACAAAGACAAAGCCTAATACTCAGAGTTGTTACCTCTAAGCTATAGGAAAATAAGAGGTGATCTGATGATACACAATATATTAAGTGCGCCAAATCGCTCCAACCCGAGCATACTACCAGAAGATCACACTCTTCGAAGCAACCTTTGGAAGATTGCACATCAGGTACGCTCCCAGTTTTTTCGTTGACAGTTGCCCTCAGTTAGAATGCTCCCCTAGCCAAAGTGACCACAGCCACTTCAGTGGATAAATTTTAGAAGATACTTGACAAACACGTACCCACCCATGGGTTACCATCTCCCTCTTGGACCACGGTTATCAATACTGCATAATCAGTAAATACTTCTTATCTCTCTTGCCATCATCTCATAATTTGGATTCCATGTCCTTACACATTATCAATTCAGTGAATTATTTATTCACTTTTTTATTTGTCACATTGCAACTAACCAACCTCCTGCCTGTTAATGTGATAGTTACTGGTACCTAGACACCCTACTGCTGTAAGACAAACGCACTTACTCAAATAACCCATATACAAGTCCATAAGTACTACCAAACTGACTAGAATCATTGTGATCGACTGGCTAAACTACCACCCATTGGACATAACTAAACACTTTGAACCGTACCGAAATATCAAGAAGCGAGCGCAAAAAAAATCGACTGGTTTACACAAACTCCTTACGAAGACATTGGATTTTAGTTACTAACACTTGAGTTATGTTATTCCCGACCAATTTATAAACACACGGACCAACATTCCGTTCTTTATGGCTGTAAATTATGATCTATGAAAGTAGAAGACACGATTCAGCTGGTCTTTGACCATAGAAGTCTTCGAAGCAATGCTTGCGTGCTGTGAAATGATCATGTAGAGTTTAGGTACAGGGTAATAGGTAAAGGTGGCAAATCGGTTTGGGAGGTTATGAAGCCTTGTCGACTAAGGTGGTCGGTATACGTACATGTGCTTAACTATCGCCTACCTCGATGGGGAGTGTTAGGTTTTATAGTAGGCTGATAAAAATATAAAGGAGTCAACCCGAAACCTAGTATCAGCCCATGAAGTCATTGACTCTTGATCTGAGCCATGGTGGTAGATGCAGACTACCTGATTGAGATCTGTGCTATTAAATGACATGGCTCAGAATCGTTTACAATCGCGCATATGCATTTGCTTTACAATTCTCTAAACCTTTTTCATTCTCTCTTCTCGAACTCCATTCTCAGTACCTAGTCTTTCTGATTGCCATTTGTAGTAAATTATTTCGATCCATATCGCTATTCATCCTGTTATGCTAATGTGATATGGCAGCTTGAGCTGATGTAGATTTGTGACAGACTACGTTGAATACAGATGATGGACTTTTCAGCCAAACAGTACCCTGATAAAAACTCAGGTTCCCTTTACTTCCAACTAAACTCTTTCATGTATTTTAAACCCATTTTGGAATTACGAGTTTAAATATTACAGGTTGTAAGCAGCTGACGAGAGCCAAATTGAATAAGATGAATTCATGTTATCATGCTCAAATCTTCATTATCCTTTTATTCGTATAGTGCATCCTATTGATGCCCACTACCCCGAAATTTGTTTACTGGATGGATTAAAACTATAATAAGCTAAAATCAAAAAGTAAACTTCTGGTCCAAAAGGATGAAAGAAAATATAGTGCACCCAACAAGTGGACACTACTGTTACAAGTGCTTTGATGTTACACTTTATAAAGTTGGACAGGCATTCAGGCGAACATTCTTGACAATAAGTACGCTATTTGTTGATTTCTTTTTACTGGAATCAGTCAATATTTTTGTATCATGTCTGTTAGACTGAGGATTTTTTCCATTTTGTTTCAGCAAGCCCCTCAGTCTGCCGGCAACTTGCTCGTGATAAAATCCTATGTTCGCCTCATCGAGTTCCAAAAAACCCACTGGTTTGTTTGCTGGAATATCCAACGATTCTTGTGTAAACTTGTTCCAAGTTCCACTTACTACAAACAGTAATATTCCAGCCCCAGGACTTTTCGGCAACTTAAAAACCACGGAATTCAGGGCCAACATTAAAGAATCAGGGCCTAGTTCCTCATCAGCCCACACCATAGGGAAAAATAGTAATGTCTCAAGAACAGTTTTCCATTCTCCTCGAAGTGGTGATGGTTTTGAAAAAGATCGAAATGGTCGTTGTGTAACTGACACCAGTATGAATAGCAATGCGCACAATAGCTGTAAGTTCATCCTTGTTTTTCGTCATCCACCACACTTCTCTTGTTTAGTTTGTAGTTTCGATTGAGTAGTTTGTTGATACATATGCAGTCTGTTCGAATGTTTACTACTGCCACCGATACTACTCCAGTCTTTATTCTTATAATTTAATCTTATTGTACTAATGCGTTGTAGTAACTTCGAGCAATATGTATATTCATTCTGTTTGAAGATCAATTACTGCTAAAAGTTGAGGTAGGGATATCAAATGTGCTTAGTGGTTAACATACTCAACGGTCAGTCAGTAGGCTGCAAATTTGAACCCCGCTTCACCTACTTCCATCTAGTCACTCGGTTAGTACTACTACCCCTCACAAAATCCCAATGCATGTATCTTGGGTTTTACGTTGCTTTTGACTGACTGGTAAATAAATTACAGTACAGAAGTGTATAGAATTTATTGGGTCCTGGAGAAGGATTGCCTTTCAATCTCTTCTTATGACCTAGGTCAGAAAACTTATGCCAGCAACTTGTACATTATTGGAGTTTGTCATATAGCACTTGACTTTCGAAAGTAAATTCGTCTGTGTGAAATTACTTAAACTATTTAATCTGATGATGAAGTGGTTGATTGCTTAAATTATTTCAAGTACATCGATGGATGATCTTTTTCTGATGAACTCGTCACAAAATTTCAGCGTGAATATAAAATGGTGTCCATTCAAAAGGGCGAGTGGAAATGAATACACATTAATAAAGCCAACCATCAAAAGGCGAATATCAATAAAAGTGTGCATTGAAAGAGGGAATAACATTTTTAATGGTGTGATATCTGTTCAATTTTCCCTCTGCTCCTCAGGCCTACGACCAATAAAAAAGTGGTCTTTTAAGCGTCTAATAAAGAGCACTTTCAACAAACTATATAACTCGTCGAATTTGGCAACAAATCGTTATTCTAATTACTCTGGTCACGTTATCTCGTAAGTCTATTTCAAACAGCTAGGGGGGTAGTCTATTTAGAAGGATGCCTTGAAAACGCTTGAAAAATGTTTCATAAATTTTACTTTGAGCAAGTTTTAAATTCTAAAAAACATATCTTTCTTTTAAAACTAAAAAGTCATATGCTATTCCACGTAGATAGTCTAGTGTCGACCTGTTTTCGTAATCTACAATCAATTCGATATGTACTGCTACTTCCTTATATTTTGTTTTCAAGTGTTGTTGATGGACTCCTGAAACAGACTGTTCTATTTTTATTCTATTTAGTCTCTTCTCTTCTTTCAAAAAATCAATAAATCTCCATATACCACAAGTTGAAATCATGAGTCAATTGAAGCTAGATCACCATGGAAAACCTGGAGGCACTGGACGGCCGTTTCGTCCTGGTATGGGACTCCTCAGCAGTGAGTATCCACGATCCCGCACCCCGCGGGATTCGAGCCCAGGACCTGGTTTCGCGCGCGAGGTGCGGGGTCGTGGATGCACACTGCTGAGGAGTCCCATACCAGGACGAAACGGCCGTCCAGTGCCTCCAGGTTTTCCATGGTGGTCTAGCTTTAATTGACTCATGATTTCAACTTGTGAAATTTCTAAAAATCTCCACAAAACCCATTCTGATAATAAAATCTCCATATACTTGAATAAGCGGCGTCAATAAGTTGACTAAAACCTTTATGCCATTCCTCCACTACATTGTTCATTTTAGGAATGTCTTCCACAAAAGGGGGTTAGCAGAATATACTTCAAATCACTAAACGACAAGCGTTTCGCTTTAATTTTGATCAGGGCTTTCGTATGTTGGTACTATCATGTTCATGATTTCAATAAACTTCTTGGGTACAGTAGGAGTTGAACGATGAACTCTATGTCTTTGGCAACTACTTTTATCGCTCCGAAAAACAATCAGTCGATTCAAATAATTATCATTACTATTATTGTCATTATTAATACTATTATTATTACTATTATTGTCGTTATTATTATTATTTTCCCACATTATTCACCCTCTTTTATACTTATACAGCGGCTCGTCTTTGGTGGAAATCCGACTGTATCTAAACGTTCTCGAGTCACTGTCCGGTTGAAAATTGTATGTTACCATCGAATATGAGTACTGAAGCAGTTTTTCTGAAACCACGTGCGCCATTCAAACTGGCTGCCTTCAACGTTCGCACACTTATGCAGGTTGGACAACAGATAGGGCTGGCTATGTCTTTGGAAAGTCTTAATATTGATGTTTGTTGTCTATCCGAGACCCGTATTCAAGACTCTGGCGAAGTACTACAAATTCGCTCTCCATCTGTCACTTCAAAAAGCTTGTTTTACGTGCGCTTATCCGGGGACCCTGTGGCATCTTCGTCTGGTCTTGCTGGCGTTGGTGTCGCACTAAGCGCTAGAGCTGAGGCAGCACTAGTCGATTGGATCCCCATTAACAGTCGGTTATGTGCTGTTAGATTAGAAAGTTCCATCAAAGTGAGAAGAAATCGGCGTGAGAAACGATGTCTTTTCGTCATCTCCGCCTATGCCCCGACAGATTGCAGCCCGGATGCAATCAAGGATGAGTTTTACCACCAGTTATCTGTTCTTCTCCAGAAAGTGCGTTCGACAGATATTGTAGTACTAGCCGGAGACTTGAATGCTCAGGTCGGGCGTCTAGGCACAGAAGAGAGTCGTTTAGGTGGCCGATGGGGACTCGTTGGTCGCAGGTCAGATAACGGGGACCGTCTACTGCAACTGTGCACAGACCACAACCTGTTTCTGGCTAGCACTAACTTTCGGCACAGTCATCGCCGATGTGCCACCTGGCGTCCTCCCTCTGCATCTCAAGCCTGGACTCAGATTGATCACATCGCGATCAGCTACCGCTGGCGTGGTTGTGTAAAGACTGCCGCTCCTTTTGGAGTACCTATCTGGACTCTGACCATGCCTTGGTCTGCGCCAATCTTGCCTTACTTTTCAGTGGACAACGAAGTGACCACCACCAACGGATTGATGTTAGCAAGCTGGTTGCAACTTCTGTTGCAAGTAAGTATCGAACCGAGCTAGCCTCTAGGCTAGCTACCACTCCACCGAAAAGTATAGATGAGCATTGGTTGCAATTGCATGACGCCATGAAAATGGCGGGAACAGTCAGTTGTGGGTTTGCGAAACGTCCCGCTTTTAAGCACTGGGTTTCTTCTGGTTCCTTACAACTCATTGAAGCCCGTCGGTCTACTCCGGGTGACCGTGAGTTTGACCATAAACGAAGGATGTTACGTAAGGAAATTGGGCAAAGCTTGCGTAAGGACCGAGAAGCCTGGTGGTCGAAGCGTGCTAATGAGCTGGAAGCAGCAGCTGCATCTGGTAATTACCGGAAGCTCTTCCAGCTCATCCGAGCCACTGGCAGCAAGAAGTCTGGTGTGAGTGAAACAATCTGCGAGGATGATGGGATGCCAATCACTAACATCCATCGACGTCTTGGACGATGGGCAGAATTTTTCGAAGGGCAGTTCAACTGGCCTGCTGCTCCGGCAACATCGGTCAGACTGTCCTGCCCTCCATGGCCGGTGACGACTGATCCACCAAACGAGGAGGAAGTCCGCAAGGAACTCCAACTCTTGAAGCGTTACAAATCACCTGGCCCAGATGACTTACCTCCGGCTCTTTTTAAAGATGGTGGTGACTTTTTGACTAAGGAATTGACGACGTTGTTTACAAAGGTTTGGGAACTAGAGAGTGTACCAACGTCATGGAATGAGTCGATAGTTGTCCCTATCTTTAAAAAGGGTTCACGTCGTTCCTGTAACAACTATCGGGGGATAAGTCTACTTCCGATTGCGTCCAAGCTATTGGCTTCCGTCATACTTCGTAGGTTGTTCAAAACCCGAGAAAGATTGACTCGCGAGGAGCAGGCTGGGTTTCGTTCTGGTCGAGGATGTATTGATCATATCTTCACCCTCCGCCAAATGTTAGAACACCGCCATACTTATCAAAGGCCAACAATCGTAGTGTTTCTTGACATCAGGGCTGCCTTCGATTCGTTGGACAGGACTGTTCTCTGGGATTGTCTATTGAAGAAGGGTGTGCCTGAGAAGTTTATTAACATCCTAAAAGCCCTATATAAAAACACCTCAGGCAGAGTGAGGGCATACAACCACCTTTCTCCATTGTTCCATTCGAGCAGTGGGGTTAGGCAGGGTTGCCCAATCTCACCATTCCTCTTCAACTTTGCCATCGATGACATTCTGGAAACAGCTCTGATGAATGTAAGTAATGGTGGTGTGGATCTGTTGCCTGGAGAAAGACTTCTCGACCTTGAGTATGCGGACGATATTGTCTTACTGTGCGATAATGCCCAAGGCATGCAATCCGCACTTAATCAGTTGGCAATCAGTGTCCGTAGGTATGGTATGTGCTTTGCACCTTCGAAGTGCAAAGTACTTCTACAAGACTGGCAGGATTCCAATCCTGTACTCACCCTGGATGGTGAGCAGATAGACGTAGTCGAGAAGTTCGTGTATCTGGGTAGCTGCATAAGTGCTGGTGGGGGTGTGAGTGATGAGATCAATGCACGTATAGTGAAAGCCAGAGCGGCTTATGCCAATCTGGGCCATCTTTGGCGCCTTCGTGATGTTAGTCTGGCTGTAAAAGGTCGGATCTACAACGCGTCGGTGAGAGCAGTTTTGCTCTATGCTTGTGAAACCTGGCCTCTCCGAGTTGAGGACGTTAGACGACTCTCTGTGTTCGATCATCGCTGTCTCCGAAGGATTGCTGACATTCAGTGGCAACACCATGTCAGTAATGCAGAGGTTCGGCATCGTGTGTTCGGGCACAGAGATGATAATTCAATTGGTGTCACCATCTTGAAACACCGACTTCGGTGGCTTGGACATGTTCTCCGAATGTCGTCCCAGAGAATTCCACGTCGTGCATTATTTGCCGACTCTGGGACTGGTTGGAAGAAGCGGAGAGGTGGTCAGTGCATGACATGGTGTCGTGGCATGAAAGAAAGCTGCAAAGGACTGGCTTGTGTTGGTCCTTCACGACTCCCTGGTTGGGGTCTGAGAGATGGTGCTACACAGTGGCTAGAGACGTTATCAGATATGGCTCAGAATAGAAGCCAGTGGCGATCCTGCTGTAACCTTCTTTTACTTTCTTCATAAAAAGTGGTTCTGTCTCCCTTACCTGAAAGATTTCTTCCGATTGTACCTTTGCGTTCCCTGATTACTAGCACATTACCTTACACCAATCTCTTCGTTATTGTTCTCTCTTTTTTTGTTGCGCTCCTTAGCTTTTTTTTTCTTTGTATTCCTCTCGAATTTTCATTGTTTTGTGTGGCGCATATATATTGGCGCTCTCTTGTACCAATATTCATGTGTCCAAATAAATAAATAACTAATAGACTCTGAACTATCAGCTTACTTTTTAGAGCTTGGTGCGGATGGTTAATTATCTTCAGTCTTTGTAAAAGGGATCCTCAAACTCTTGGATAAGAACCTGTATTTAGTTTCTGAGTTATTCATGTACAAATAATTAAATTCTTGTTCATTATATTGCGGTTTAAATTCGACTAGATGGTACATTTCACTTAACATTACTATGTTAGGTCCATCGCTATACTGTGCTGTTGATTAATTGATATTGTTTGTTAACCTTTTTCCTATTTCAATCGAGTTTCTTATTTTTTATGTATTCTTCATTACAATCCTTCCATTTGTCAGACTTCGACCTTTCTGGATCTTCTAACAATGAAAAAAGGTGCTTAGATTCAAATAATATCCAGAATGCCGCTAACTTGTATTGGCCTGCAGTTAAATTATCCCGTTTGCCGATCGAATACAACACAAAGAGTTTTCTACTGAAGCACTTCCAAAGTTTTGGTCCTGTTGAACGAATTATATGTCAACCTTCTATGGATGCTGCTTATATAGCTTTTAATTCTTTGGTTAGTACTTATTCGGTTGGCAGCTACGTGTTTGCTTCATCTATTGAGTTACCTACATTAAGTTATCAGCGTAAAACAAAAGGAGCGTTATGGTTAACTAGTCTACTAGAATGCATTATTGGTTGCTTGGATGAGGAGGATACCTAACTACAGTTCTAAACACAACATACACACGTTCCAAATAATTCTAAGTTTTTGAATCAGCTTGAATACCCGCACTGATATAATTAACCAGACGTCTGATTCATACAATCACTGTTCAGACTCTGATCCACCGGTTTGGCCGACAAAATGTTGCAATTGTGTGTTGTGTGAATCTGTTCATTAAATTTGATAGCATATGACTCGCAGAAAAATGTATTTCGTTGTTATTGGTTGCGGTTAATTTCATCCGGCTACTAGTTACATTTCCGATCCAAAAATACAGTACTGTCTACACAATTGTATCTTAGTTGTTTATAAAGGCTTGTTACTGCCTGTCAATAACAAAGTGTGTTGTAGACAAGTAAATCAACAAACACTAATACATAGTAATACTGGCAAATGGAAGTAAAATGTTAGTTATTCCGTTTTGGTTATGTAGTTTCTTTCTTTCCTCCACATTGTCAGCATATTTTTTAACCAAATTTTTATTCGTTCTCAATGTTTAAGTCTTCTGCAAATCAAGCTAAACGATCAGGACGTGCACGTATTGCATCTGCTAACATTGATTTGCCTAGCTCAGTCCTTTTTACCATGGCACGATGTCGTCGTCAAACTAATTCTGGATCAAAATCAATATCACCTAAATTAGGTCCTATCAGGGGTAGAAACACCGTGTCCTCCATATCCCCATCATGTACATCTCTGAAAAGAATGATTACATCACACTCTGTAAGCTTACTTTCAAATATATTTGCTTTCATTTTCTGTGATATTATTTTTCAATAACATGTAACAGCCAGCCAATTCATATTTTTCATATATTAAATGACAGCCCATATTGGCAACAGTAGCCACACTGTTTTTTATGATCACTTAAGCTGTGAAGAATAATTCCTGATGTTTTTATTCCACCAACTGATTCATTTAGGTTTCGTTATAAAGAAAGGTGTAGCAATCGATTCTTTTATCCATAGACTTAATACTTACAAAAGACGAATTTGAGCACATGATATTTTTAGTAAGTCTAGTAAGTCCACTTTTAATTTGTACAGTCTTGAACCTCCCTCTGTTTCATCTGTTTCGATTTATTCACCCAAGTAGTATTTCCCAACCCTAAGACGAAAATGCTAGAAATTGAAGCTTGATATGTGATTCTGTCAACTGTTAATTATTTTAATTCCTGTTCAGAGTTATCAATAGTTGTATGATAACTCAATAATTGATTGGAAGAACAACAATGCATTCAACGCATATAGTACAATATTTGGCCATCGGTATTGACTACCTACTTATTAACTTGAGAGTGTTAGTCTTTAACATGCCTGTCTTTTTCAGTATATTTCCGATATGATGAGAAAACGTTAAGGTCATTAATCAAGTTATTAGATAAAATCCTCTTTAAAAGTTCCGAATGTTGATTCATTTTGACGTTTGATAATTCGGTTTAGTGATACATTAGTCTTATTATTTATTTTAACACATAGACATTGGTACAAGGAGGCACCGAATACATATGCGCCACACAAATCTCATTCGATATGTGTGAGAGCTGTGATACTGCCCGGGTGCCCAAACCGAAGCAGGTGGTTTTCTTAGGGGGCCACTCCCCGAGCCTTCGACCTGAAGGTCTGATCCACAAGGCAGTGGAGCGTTGTAAGGAGATACAGTCCCATGGAAGCCGGTGACGAACGATTGGTTCATACGCCATTTGTTCCCGCAGGATACTGGAGCCCATGTGCACCATTGGTTTGGAATCCGGTTGAAGCGCCGGACATTCGCTTTTCGTCCTCTCATTTTTGTAAACAACACCCCCGCCACGAGAGGGCAGTAAGTAGGACTTCCCTGGCAGAGGCTGTATACGCGTGGCCGTGTGAGAGCATTTCAAGAGGGAGAGCGGACTCTCACCACTCTCGGCCGTACCAGGGCATTTGGGGGCTAAATTAACATAATTTGAAACGACACAGTAAGGAAAAGGCAGTTAAAGGAATAATATTTCACAAGTGATTACGTAAAGATGGTACACACAAAACGATGAAATTTAGGATAAATACTAAATACTGAATTGTACCAAATTAAATACAAGTCTAAGCACTTATAGGATCGATTCAGAATAAGGAATTAAAGTTATTTTCTACGTAAAATGATAGTTAATCATCAAATTTATGATTATTTTAATCAGAGAGAGGTTTTGTGGATATTATAGTAATTTGATTGTTGAATTCATGAGTCAATTGAAGCTAGACCACCATGGAAAACCTGGAAGCACTGGACGGCCATTTCGTCGTGTTGTGGGATTCCTCAGCAGTGCGCATTTACGAAACGGCCGTCCAGTGCTTCCAGGTTTTCCATGGTGGTCTAGCTTCAATTGACTCATGAATTCAACAATTAAATTATGATTATTTATCATTTTTCTTCGAACTGATCGCGTAAAGGTGTTTACATGGTTGGTCAACATCATAAGTGACTACAGAACATGTGATGTAGGTAGTAGGATTGAGCAAAAAATGTCAAATGTTACTTTATATTTCTTTTTAAAATACTTTTTTTGGTAGAATACAAAGCAGGTCATGAATAAAAAGCAATTTTCCAGAGTATCTGTTTCAAGTGATAATCAGTCATCTCGTACATCAGTTATTATTGATAATCAATTATCATTTACGTCGTCCCAGATGGTATGCAATACACAACCAACAATATCCTCTATTACACGGCCAAATGCATCCGCCTATAATAATAATAGTCTATTCAATCAGAAATCTCCAAGTGCTACTACACTAGATGAACGACTGTCTGTATTACAAGAATATTATAAACGTGATTGTGAACTGAGGTCTATATCCAAATCTGCTGATCCAAAAATTCAATGTTCGGATATATGCAACAGCAACACTGGTGAACCGATTCGTCATGCACCCATTAAAGGCACATGTGAAGATATGTGTCCTGAATTGGAACGTTATTGTCGAGCAGCTCATCAACGTGTATCTGTATGTTTTTTTTTAATACTTTCGTAGTATGAACTTTATCCAAAGTGTATTTATCATTAGTTTGGGCACAACTTTCATATGAAACCTTGCTTCATATTCAATCTGTACAATTAGTTTCTGTAATCACCGTACTATAAATCTAGCTCAGGACGTAGTACATGATTCTGTATGCAGTTAATTAGCTGTACTTCAGTATTGAAATGGGGCTACCAATGCCTTTTACTTTCTTTTCAATTTAGACCAGATTATAGCTGCTACCTTAACATGGTGATCGAGCTTGCCTATCGTGATGAGTTATATTGGCTAGAACACTTGTTTTCTTAGGTTCATATGACCACTACTGATCCCTTAAGAAGGATCATACTTCCACAGTATGGGCAACTGAGTGGTAAGTGATAACTATCCTTATATCCCTAACAGCACTGGAGATCCTCCTGTGTACGATCAAATCACTTCTTGATGTTTCTTTCATCTTCACCATCAACCTTTCTCCTATGACTTTATCCCCGTGTATCACTAATGCTGACTATTCGAGTCTCTTGAAACCTCACTTAAACTACATCTTGGGAATTCCAGTGCTCGGACGTTATATCAAGTAGGCCAAGAGGCTTCCTTAGCTAGGACTTTAGAATCGCGTGCCATCGATTTATTCTGTCTCGAAACACATATACAGGATCCAAGTATGGTCATCTATCGGGCCTCAGCTAGTCAATATGGAGGGGCATTATGGTTTACCCTTCATGTACCTGGAGACGACTCCCATTTTCTCGTGGCCTCTTTGGAATAGGTGTAGTCAGTTAGTCAGTCAGCTAAAACGTAGGACCAGGCACATATATGCATCGGCCCAAGTTGCCATACCGTATTAGCACGACAAAGTGAAAACCGGATTCATCGGAGTAGTTAAGTCAGTGATGGTAATATGTAAAAGAAAGATTACATACAATGATATAGTACAGGAAGAAAGAATTAGTTCGTAGAAAGAAAGGTATAAATTCATTTCAATCTCACGGTCTAAGGGAATACATAGAGTTTATACACCTACGCCATTGTGATCGATTCTGAGCCATGTCATCCACAGTCTACAACCATTGGTTACGATAGTCACACGTACCCCAAGCAAGTAGTCTGCATCTACCAACATGACTGGTCGCCACTAACTTCCTTCCAACCATCCCCAACACTATTCAGCATTGCGTGTCGTGGTAATCAGTGTTCAGGCATATACAACATGTAGCCCAACCATCTCAGTTGATGAAGATTCACAGCCTCATCGACTGATTTACCATCATTCCCTAATACCCTACGCCTCACCTCACCATTACTTACCCGGTGGTCCCAGCAGATGCGAGCAATATTTCTAGGGCATCTGTAATCAAATACTAGTAAATTACGAGTATCTTCTACTCTTAATGACCACGTTTCGCAGCCATAAATTCGAACAGAACGAACTGCCGCACAGTATACTCGTCCCTTAATTGATAGACGGATATCTCGCCCTCGCCATAGGTGACGTAAGTTGACAAAAGCCAAATGCGCTTTCTGAATCCGTGCTGATATTTCGTCAGACAATAACCCATTAGGGCTGATCATAATTCCAAGATAAGTGAAGTTGTCGACGTGTTTGACTACTTCACTCCCTATCCTTAGTTCAGGTGTTGACACAAACCAGTCCTGAAGCAACAACTTGCATTTAGAGGGAGAGAAGCGCATTCCAAACATTCTGACATTGTTGCTTAATGCTACCAAATTACTCTGCATTTTATCAGCGTCTTGACCAAACAGGACTATGTCATATGCGTATTGTAAGTTGATAAGTGGATCTCCTGGAAGGAGATCAATACCCGGGAATTCAGTCGACGAGAATGTTATTTCCTGTAGTAGGTTTATGATGAAGTTAAACAAAAATGGAGAAAGTGGACATCCTTGACGGACACCACTTGAGGTTGCAAAAGCAGATGGCAGTCCGCCATAAGCTCTGACTCGACTAGTAGTGTTCGAGTAAAGAGCCTTCACAAGGTTTATGTAATTCTGAGGTACACCTTTCAATGACAGACACTGTCACAGAATCTCGCGGTCTACAGAGTCAAATGCCGCTTTTAAGTCAAGAAAGACCACCATTGTCGGACGCCGATAGTATGCCTGTGTTCTAGAACCTGACGAATGGTGAATATGTGGTCGATGCATTCACGACCAGGTCTGAAGCCAGCCTGATTTTCTCGTGTTTGCAGTTCACGAGTCTTAGTTAGGCGTCCGATAATTATCGAGGCTAGTATTTTAGATACTATGTTTGTTAAACTAATCCCTCTGTGGTTGTCACAGGATGATTTTGACCCTTTCTTATATATTGGGACGATAAGTGATTGCGACCAGTCAGATGGGATAATGTCTGACTCCCAGATCTTAGCTAAAATATTAGTCAACCTAATCGCTAAAATTGGACCACCATCCTTAAAGACTTCTGTAGCCAATCCATCTGGACCAGCTGCATTTCCTCGTTTCAGATTAACTATAGCCTTTTGAACTTCAGCTAGAGTTGGGAGACCTACTTCAATGTCCCATTCACACTGTCTGGGAATGGATGGTAGTTGTAGAGTAGCTGAAGGCCAGCTGAACTGTTCTCTAAAATGTTCCGTCCATCGTTGTAAACGTCTGGACTTGGAGCAGATGAGAGTGTCGTCTTTTTCCGAGATAGTCTCACTTAGTGCGTAGGTGTAGCACTATGTTCAAAGGAAGTACAAGCTGTCGCAGACTGGATTCCAATAGGTTTTCACTTATGCGCTGTTTCATTAAATGGGGATGTAAGAACACGGAAAGAAATAGACATACAACGTTACCTCTTGGTTGTCTGTGCCCACGTTCGCACTGATATCAGTTCGGATAAACTTTTAGAAAAGACTCTCTTCTACAAGAAGTCAAACACTTAGACGTAATTGTAGCAGCGATTTTATCACCCAGCTCAACGAACAGATGACGACGAGCATCTGTCCAGACAATCGTTTATTCCTAAAAAGTATTAATTTCAAGCATAAGGAGAGACATCGTTCGACATGACGACCAGTAGAATTAACTCAACGATGGCCTCAAACAGGACCATACTGTGATTAGTCATTGTTGGAGAGGCTCAATAGGAGACTGCTACTCATTCTGTGGCACATGTCTAGACTTTGATCCTGCTCCACCAAGAGAACGTGTTTGTTTGCGTCATACTAGACCCAGAAAATCTAGATCAAGAAGACCCCAAATAGTTCAGGTTTACTATGAAGTAAAGAGTGTATTTCAGAAACAATGAGGAAGGCAGTTAGTCAATCTCTAATGTGACACTTATCTCAATATGGATTAGCACAATATCCAGCTCGCTGGAGAAACATCAATAGATTTCAGTAGTGTTGTTATGACCTTGAATCGCTTTTACCCCGTTGGTACTTTGTGATGACCTTGATCTTTCTAGTCTAGATTATGGCCCTGACGCGATAGGCTGAGCGGCTTAACCTTGAGCCTAGTACGCGTGAGTTCGAGATGGGGTAGAGAGAAAACTATTCTAGAACCTGATTGGTTGGCAAGCACACAAGCGAGAGAAGACAGGACAGTTGGAAGACTCTGAATTCTCTGAATTCGGATTAGTGCAAAAAAAGGTACATGAATAAATAAGTGAATATCCTGACCACAACGTACAATAATTTGGAAAAATACAATTATGTTCGAAACTGGGAATTAGGTTAGAAAATAAGATGCAAAATATTATGTTTAAATTACAATATTTTCGGAACAAAAAAAGGTATGGCAGTGAATGTTACATAGAACGAAAGCTCATGTTATGTAGAATAAAATAGGGACAAAAATAAATATAAGTGTTTTACAAGGTTTGAATGAAATGAAATAACGTCCCAAGAAAATAGCTTTCGTAGTTGTCTGGACGTCTTATTTCCCCGTTCACAACAAGTGTTTATTCAGTTGATAGATGCTTGAAGTCATCCCCTGTGGCTCCGAACATGACTAGGGCCAAAAGCAGTCTAAACGTAGACTAGTAAAAAGCTTACGCAATGATTGTGAGTAGTGATCGGCAGTGAAAGCATCAGAGACGCAAAGGTAGCGGGAATAGGTAATAGCAAGCAACTGTTCAGATTTATCTAGAAAACAGATATTAAAAATCTGGCTCTTAGTGAGACTATTTCTGAAAAAGACGGGACTATTATTTATTCTCAATCCAGGAGATTCAACAGATGAGCAAAACATTTTACAGAACAGTTCAACTGAACTTCAGACACACCTAATTTATCCACCATCTCCAACCAACCTGAATGGCGAACTGATGTAAGTCCTCCAACTCCTAGTGAGGTTGAAAAGGCTTCAAACAATCTAAAGCGGGGGGGGACGGGGCCTGATGGACTAACTCCTCGCACATCACTTCTCCGAGTGAGATTCTTATGATTGTGTCATTCGGTAGCTCAAGATATCAGATATAGTCCAAGATAGGAGCCACTGACGATCCTTTCATAGTTTTCTTACATTCCTCACAAATCGTATAGAGTACTTTTGAAGTGGATGAAATCTATAATTATTACACCTTTTATTGTTTGTTCGCGTGTTTCTTTTTAACAGTTTTTTTCTATCTAATAACTTCATTTCGTTTGCGTGATGCATTCTCGGTACCCTGTAGTATCAGGCAACATTTTGCGTTATAAATGGGAAATACACTAAAATTACTTATATAATTTAATCAACAATAGTTTTCTGTGCATGTTATCTAAACGAAATAATGTTATTAGATGTATTTATAGTAAATATAATTATTAATGACTTCGTTCAATATTGTCCCCAAATGCTCTGGTACGGCCTAGGGTGGGGAGAAGTAGCTACCTCTCGAAGTGCTCTCACATGACCATGCGTACACAACCACTGCCAGAGAAGTCCTACTCACTGCCTTCTCGTGGCATTACTGTTGCTTACGAAATTCAGAGGACGGAAAGCGAATGTCCGGCTGACTAACCGAGTTGGTGGATATGGAGGATCTATCTAGTGGAGTTGGGAAACCTTGGTTGTAAACCAATGGTGCACATGGGCTGGCTCTAGTATCCGGAGGGAACAAATGGCGTGTGAACCAACTATTGGTGACCGAATACCATGAGACTGCATCTCCTAACCTGCCTTGTGGGTTAGACCTTTAGGTCAAAGGCTTCGGGTGCGGTCCCATAGGAAAATCACCTGCTTTGGTTTGGGCACCCGGGCAGTATCATAGCCCACACAAATCAAGTGACTCGTATGGCACATATGTATTCGGTGCCCCTTTATACCAATATTTATGTGTTCAAATAAATAAATGAATAAATAAATTCAATTTTATATGTTTAGTACAATATAGAATTCTCATTACATTTTTTGTACTACTGTTAACATTTTTTCGTCAGGTGTTTCATAAATTTTCATAATTTTTTCACTTAAAGATATTTGAGTGTTTACCTACTACAATGAGTGTTAATTCATCTTCTTGGGAGATGGATCATACTCGGGCTGTGAAAGATTATCAACGTTCTTCAGCCGATCAACCTGTACCATTACCCCGAGAACTACGACCGACATGTGTTTTGCAACGTACAATGGCTTATTTACTAGCTAGCATAGCTGATCGCCCAGAAATTGATACCAGTCGTAGCCTATGGAAACCTTGGTATGAATTTATGTGGACACGTACACGAGCTATTCGCAAAGATATACGGCAGCAAAACTTATGTTGTCCCATTGTTATTGGTGTTATTGAACGGATAGCAAGATTTCATATTTTCTGTGCTGCACGATTAGTTGATCAACCAGTGGATACTTTTGATCCTCGCATTAATTCAGAAAATTTAACTCAGTGTCTGCAAACATTAAAGGAGATGTACAGTGATTTAGATTCACCAATTACTTCTGAAAATATGTGTCCTAATGAAGCAGAATTCCGAGGTTATATGCTGTTAATGAAACTGAACGACCAAAACGAGATCAAGTGAGTACATAGTTTCTGTATTTAAGAGGTTTTGAAAGTCGTGAAAAGAATAGGGGATTTGTTAGTCAATGAGCATGCGTCTATAATACAATCTACATATGTTGTTTGGCGGTGAGTTATACCCCCCCCTTTGTTTTTTTCTTACTACTTCACTTAAATGGTGTATCTAACTGGGAAATACTAAGAATAACGAAACTCCAATCTTTAATTCCATTAATAATCATCACTATCAGACTGAATTGATAGCCATTTTCAGCATTACCACGCTAGTATCTCATTCAACAACAGCAGTTGATCTCTTCATTTCAACCGTATCTATCGTCAAAGATTTAGCCCTAAAATTTCCTTTCAGTAATATCATTTATTAAAGCTGATGAAACATGTTCTTTAATCTCGCTGGTATTTACTTCATGGATATGTTCGGGACAACTTGTCACTTTGAAAAACCTCCGTATGTGTGTCTGTTTATCAGTATAATCGATTATATGGAGCAAGTCGGTTATATATCAGTCTCACACAACCTACTTTTTTTGATGGCGATTTTAATGCGTTTTCCAAGAAAAGTTAGTAAAACAGTAATCATCTAGATCGCTGAATATCTCGTCGATGGATTAAAATAAAAGATTTATCTATCTATGTATGCCTTTAGATAAAATGGATTATAGTGGATGTGAATTCGTAACTTGCTCACAACAGAGGCATAAGCTATTTACCAATTTAAATCGGAAATTTGTTTTAAAGTAATATATTGAATTTCTCTTTTCTTCATCATGGTTTCTAAATTGCTTTATTGAACTATAGACGTTATCATTTTGTTAATTTCTTCCCTTTTCTTTAATTTTTTCTAAGATGAATGACTAACTCTCATCCATTTTATTTAGTCATTAATTTTCATATTATCGTCATCATCATTGAGTGCCCCAAATGCCCTGGTACGGTCGAGGGTGGGGAGAGTTAGCTACCTCTCGAAGTGCTCTCACGTGGTCATGCATACACAACCACTGCCATAGAAGTCCTACTCACTGCCTTCTCGTGGCATTACTGTTGCTTACGAAATTCAGAGGACGGAAAGCGAATGTCCGGCTGACTAACCGAGTTGGTGGATATGGAGGATCTATCTAGTGGAGTTGGAAAACCTTGGTTGTAAACCAATGGTGCACATGGGCTGGCTCTAGTATCCGGAGGGAACAAATGGCGTGTGAACCAACTATTGGTGACCGAATACCATGAGACTGCATCTCCTGACGTTGCTCCATCGCCCTGTGGATCAGACCTTTAAGTCGAAGGCTCAGGTTGTGGCCCCCTAAGAAGACCACCTGCTTCGGTTTGGGCATCCGAGTAGTATCGCAGCCCATACACAAGTCAATTGACTTGTGTAGTGCATATGTATTCGGTGCCCCTTTTTACCAATATTTATTTCTTCAAATAAATAAAACTTCATCTTTGAGTAGGTTGGTGGATAATCTTGAAGAAACTGTACGTTCGATTTTCTAATACATTTGTGACGATACTTGATCAATCTGCCTTTTATTAGTCTGCAGAAATCAGGTATTACTTATAGATAGGATTGTAGGTTATATATGGCTTTATCTAAGGACATTTTTCTTTGTTGAGCTGCTAATTTTTATTGGTCAAAGGTTGCCTTGTTTCATAATTGTTTCAATCACCTTGGTTCAGTGATTTTTTAATGAGCTCTTTAAAAATACCGGATAGTGACTTGTTTCTTCCTGTATGACTTTGGTTTATTAGGCACATTTTTACCTTTGGTGTTTTTTTATTATTTTATTTTAGTGAAGCTCAACGTTTACCTGAACGACTACGTCAATCTAAACCTGTACGATTTGCATTTGCTACACATGAAGCTCTCATAACAAACAATTATATCAGATTTTTCCGTTTAGCTCGTCAAGCTACATGTTTAGTTGCTTGTCTTATGCATAGATATTTTGTACAAATACGTAGTCAAGCTTTAATGAAACTGTCTTGTGCATTTGCTGGACATCCAAAACGAGAAGTTCATGTGAGTATTGTTTCTTCGGTTATTCTGTTGATTTTCTAATCTTATTGAAATCAAACTCTTAAATTACATTGTCTTCCTATTCGTGTACTACAATCATTCTTCAAAGTGTTAGTTACAGTTAATGAAATTCTATACGATGAACTTGTGGGAATTAGATCAAATTATTAATTTACTTACTTCTGAAGTTGTTTTCCAATCAGTCACATAAGTATTCCCTGCTTCAGTTTGGGTGCCCGGGTAGTATCCCAACCCTCACAAAAATCGAATGATTTATGTGGCCCATATATATATATGGTGCTTCCTTGTACCAATATCTATGTGTTTAAATAAATAGATACATAAGTATTCAGTTCATCGTCACCGTGTTGCAGTTTCAAATCTCAGTCTGATACATATATATTATAGTTTAAAACAAGGGAGTTTTGACCTGTGCATTCAGTGACTCAACCTCCAACTGGTAGATTATAATGCCTAATCCTATTCAACCTCTGAAGCCCAGTCTTGCCTACTGTATAAGTAGCTTCCATGTAGTGTGATTTATAGACGAGAATATGGATCTGGTCGTAGTTGTTTATTTTCTACTTCTTTAGGTTTGAACAACTGTTTTGTTTGGTTAATAGTCCTTTATTTAACATGACTGAAGACGCAGTGCACAAAATTGATGTGACTTAATATGTAATCTATGCAGAAATAGTTTCTTTTTATTCAAAAACGTATTACATAGTCATATTCTTCGTACTTGTCTATGGATAACATTTTCATGAGAATTTTGTTGAGAATACCCACTCCCTCACATCTATGTTAATTTGATCTCGAACTCGTGATATTACGTTTAAAGGACTACTGATATTTATATCAGAAGGAGTTTCGTGGATATTACAGTAATTTTAATAGTTGGAATCATGAGTCAATTGAAACTAAACCACCATGGAAAACCTGGAAGCATTGGACGGTCGCTTCGTCCTAGTATGGAACTCAACAGTGAGCACCCACCATCCCGTCTCGTGGGATTCGAAGCCAGGACCTATCAGTTTCGCGCGCGAGCGTCTTGCTCCTAGACCACAGAGATGGCATTCAACGGTGTTAATGTATAACTTCAACTAATCCACGAAATTGAGTGACACATCCACCATTGTCTTCAGTGAGTTACTCTCTCACAACTGACCCAGTTGAACTCCACTGGTCACTGTTTCTCACTAGAACTCCAGGATATCCCTCTTGAAGCCAGTCACTAGTGAGCATATGTTGATTAATATCAGAAGGGGTTTTGTGGATATTATAGTAATTTTAATAGTTAAGATCATGAGTCATTTGAAGCTAGACCACCATGGATTCAGATTTAACCTTAATTATTTCTTATATAGTAAACCACAAATGGTATACAAACCTTGTTTGTTGTCACATAATTAGCATCAAGTTAGCTTGTTTAACTTTTTTTTCGCTACCATCATCACTTTTTTCCCCACTGTTTATCTTAAATTTTTTTAAACAGTATCCTATTTCTACTCTGACACAACAACTCGGTTTTGAAAATGAAACAGAATCTAAACATTTCTGTGAAACATGGGGTTTATCAGTGTTTGGTTCAAATGTGATATTTGAAAAACAAATTCAACCTCAACCACCTACGTTACCATGGAAAGAACAGAGATCATTTCACGTACGCTCTATTTTTAATTAATTTTATCGTATATTTCTTTTTCTCTTTGTTGTGAACTATATATTGATTTTTCTTGATATTCGTCTTCCCGTATTGCGTTTAGTAGTTAGATTTTATTTTTAGCCAACATAATTACAAGTAATCATTGATCTAACCACATTCAACTCCCTGGTATAATATTTTTAAATTGTTCTAGGATTGAATTTATTATTTGTGAAACAGCTCCTACCTTAATGTAGTTGTCAAGGTATCATAACTGTTGGGTTGAGCAATATTGACTGAAATATTTACTTCTTGAGGTCCAATCATTCTAGGTAGTTTAATTTGAAAGCTGGTAAGATGAAGAACAGTGGATGTAAGATCTAAGGGTGAAGGCGTATCGTTGACTGTTCTGGTTTGTGGGAGCGTTTTCTCACCAATAACCACCATTGTCTCTAGTGATACTGATCTTCCACAACGTAAAGTAGGGTTAAAAAAGGTCAACCTGAAAAATAACATGTGTCCTCCACAGAAGCATCAATGTAACTTATTCCCTGTTTAATACACTAGTTTTAACAATAGTTACACTACCTGTTTTGATTTTATGTCATTATGGATGACATCTTACAGTAGCCGGTCACATACCCGGATATTCACTCATTCAATTATTATGCTCAAATTATATGATTATGTTTGGTGCAGGACTTTAAAAAGTAGTCATCTAAACTCCTTGATTAGTGATCCGTTGATGTTTGGGACATGTTTCTCTTCCCCCGAACACAAAACGTTACGTCAGAACTGCTTTCGATAACGCCTTAGTTTCACCGTACATAAGGAAGTAGTTAAGGTAGGTGTTGGAATTCCTTGCGGAATTCCGCCTCGTTATGTGGGCCAGTCGTTGCACAACTGACAGCCTGTTCTATCAGCCCTGATCTTGGTTGGTCGTTGGCGACCGTTGTCCTGTCCTGAGTTCGACCTTCAACCACTAAGTCCCAAGTTCAGACCCTGATCTGCTTTGGTTTGGGCAACCGCGTAATGTCATTAGCTCGCACAATTGGAGTCTGGCTTTTACCTGAGAACCTAGTGAATAAGTTAGTTTTATAATAATTAATTAAAACTTATTTAAATTATGGATTTTTTGTCATCAAGGACGCTTTTAATCCCAACGACTCCTAAAATTACTCGCGTTCAAACCTCATTCAGAACAATGAAGACTTACTGTGGCACACCTAAAACACGAAAAACTGAAAATATTTAATTAATGTTCTTCAAAAGAACGTTAATGTAATTAAGAAAAGTGATTACCAAACTTGTCAACAAGATCTAAAGCAAATGCGGAAACGAACAAACGGATCATCCTACCATATTATAAAGGACATCAGAAATTGGGACAAGATTATTGAAGCCCTTTGAAATAGCCTTAGCCCGTAAACCACCAAAATCACTTCAATCAAACTTATGCAAACCAAATGATTAAATTACAAAAGAAAGTCCAAAAATTATCTACAAAATAAATCCCTCCATCTACGCGTTACACTACATTGAACAAAGTATCCACAGTTTTCATTTCCAAATTCATAGATATTAACTAACTGTCAAAGACCACGATATGTCTTCGCACATAGTCAAATAAGGAGAAACCTTCGACTGGGAAAATGTTAGAATCTTAAAGAGAATATTAAAATAGTCAGTGGATTTTTAGAAGCTTAACATACAAGCTAATTAGCAACTAATAAACATATCGAAATCAATCCAATTTATCAATCAGTTATTAGGTCAAAGAGGTTGACCATCCAAATAATTACAAGAGAAAGGTTAACAACAACAATAACCAATCAAGTTTGATAGAATAGACTGTCAATTATGATGCAGAAATTTGAATAGCTTACTTCTATTTTAAATCTATGCTGTCGATATTACCCAGAAGGACTACGAAAAATTTATCATTAAACCACCAATCTCAAACAAAGGAACTCCATCTAAGTTATAATTCTTTCCTATCCTCTCGATTAAGTTATTCACAAAGTCTAATCATTGGCAGAATATTCTCAATGAACTCAGATAAATACACCTCAACGGTTCAGTTTACATGTTTAAAATAAAGTATTTGTGTAATTTGATTACTTGAGGTGTTTTATCACGTTATAAACCATTCAGATAACTTTCATAAATCTCATACTTGGTACACAAACGTGTATATAAAGCTATTCACTTGTAAAATGGATGTATAGAGTAACGTCTAGAACGTTTTACTAAAAGTACATTGATTATACATTCAGTAAAGAAATATCAATAAATTGATTCCTATTTATTTATTCTTTTATCCTATTTAATACAATTTTCTAGCTAGTTGAGAATAAGCGTATTGGTATCCCATTGTCTGTTTTATTCAATGGTTCTCCTGTTAATCCTTCAGATGCAATACCATCTCCTGTTCAGTCTTCGTTTGATACAAACGGTAAATATATTTGCTCACAAAGGAAACCTACTCAAAATGATAATGCTACACTTGATTATAATAATCGTATTGCTGACAATAATGTTTGTAATAATAATTGGATCACTTCATATATGTATCAACAGCCTATAACAAATTCTTCATCATCATCAACAACCAATTCATGGTTAACTGAAAGCAATACATCTAGCAAAAAACAAATATTTGATGAATTGTTAGAATTTGTATATAATGAATGTGTTGATGAAGTTCTATGCTATTCAAAATGTGCTCAAACTATTCTACTTGAAGAGATAATAATTAGTGAACTAATCGAGAAGTTAATTAAAGATTTTATTGAAGATCATCTAGTTGATGTATGTTTTGTTCATGTTTTCTTTTATTTTGATTATCATCAATTGTTTCCCTTTTTTCTAGAATCATTGAGAAGTGGACTTAAGTAATTTAATGTTCACAAAAGATATATTCACATAGTACCAGTTATTTTATTGGAACTGAAAACCTTATAGATTTTCACTTTCTATCCCACTACGAAATGAATGTATTTACTGTGACGTATTAAATTGCTAGTCTATTCGTATCAACATTTACCACTACGATGAATTGTTACACATCATCTTTATAAACTGCCTATATTTTACTGCTATAGAACATATTCATCAATACATCCTTTTGTATCTAATCCTGTCCCATCCTATTCCACAAATCTGTTACAAAATATTTTAGTCATTGTGCGTTTCTGTTGTAATCCTAGAGTTTTCTTATATATTTCTTAATAGATTGTTAGATATGGTTCATCAATCAAAATTCAGATCATAATTCTCTGCTCTCCAAATATGCTCTTTTAGTCTACAATCCATCATCCTTAGCTTTGACTAATTACGCGCTTCGATCGAAAACGGCTGATGTTAAGCAATCATTATTTATTTGTATTTATCTGAAGACATAAATATAGGTAAAAAGGGGCACCGAATACATATGCACTACACAAGTCAATTGACTTGTGTATGGGCTGCGATACTACTCGGATGCCCAAACCGAAGCAGGTGGTCTTCTTAGGGGCCACAACCTGAGCCTTCGACTTAAAGGTCTGATCCACAGGGCGATGGAGCAACGTCAGGAGATGCAGTCTCATGGTATTCGGTCACCAATAGTTGGTTCACACGCCATTTGTTCCCTCCGGATACTAGAGCCAGTCCATGTGCACCATTGGTTTACAACCAAGGTTTCCCAACTCCACTAGATAGATCCTCCATATCCACCAACTCGGTTAGTCAGCCGGACATTCGCTTTCCGTCCTCTGAATTTCGTAAGCAACAGTAATGCCACGAGAAGGCAGTGAGTAGGACTTCTATGGCAGTGGTTGTGTATGCATGACCACGTGAGAGCACTTCGAGAAGTAGCTTACTCTCCACACCCTCGACCGTACCAGGGCATTTGAGGGAATTATGAGATAACGTAAGAGGACTGTCGAATCAAAAATACCATTTTTTTCTATCCTAATATTCAGTTTAAGAAGAAAACATAACACAATCAAACTTTACATCGTCGTATTTCAAGTACTTATAAGTTTCTACAAATGAATTTCCAGGCTGCGATACACCTCAAATAAGAAATCACAATTTGTACACAATCAGGACATAAGTGATAAAAAAATGGAAAAAGTGATAAATTAGTTAGCGACAGTTAGAGAATTGTATATAGTATAACAATGGCTAGTGAATCCAATGGGATTTTCAAACAAGAGGAATGTAGAAACATAACAAACCAGTTAGATGATAATTATATTATGAAAATATTCATATTAATAATTTGTAAAATAGTTCCTAAAAGCTACCTCAATAATCGTTCCTCTATAGCAATTTCATTAGTGCTTCATTGTTAGATGACCATATCAACTTGCTAATACTGTCAAATGTTCCCAATTCGTTTATGTATGCTTAAAGTATTGACCTGAATATCGTATGAAAATCAGTTGTGTTGGTAATATAAATCACAGTCACTTTTCAACCGGTTAATTGAAGTGTTTCCAGATAACTATCTCTGACTTGTTTTATTTTAAGTAATATCTGGATTTATATGTATATACTGCCAGGGTAGTCCTCACTGCCTTCTCGTGGCATTCCTGTTGTTTACGAAATTGAGACAAGGAAAAGCGGATGTCCGGCTGATTAGCCGGGTTGGTGGATATGAGGGATCCACCTAGGGAAGTTGGAAAACCCCGATTCCAAACCAATTGTGTACATGGGCTCCAGGGTCCTGAGGAAAAAAGGTGCATGAACCTATTGTTAGTGACCGACTACCATGGGACTGCATCTCCTGATGTTGCTCAACTGCCTTGTGGATTTGACCTTTAAGTCGAAGGCTCTGGATATGGCTTCCTAAGAAAACCACCTGTTTCAGTCTGGGTACCCATGCAGTATCACAGTTCACACATAAATCCAGTGACTTGTGTGGCGCATATGTATTCGGTGCCCGCTTGTAACGATGTTTATGTTTTCAAATAAGTTAAAATATAGATTACTTTTGATGGAGTTTTGTTCTCTGAGCTGGATGGTTCGGCCGTGGAGTTTTCATCGTTCTTTTGGACGACATGATCAGCACAAACTTCAGACTTCTATCATCCACCTGAGCTACAAATCTTCTCCACCATCTCGTATAGATTACTATTTATGTGACTATTGAAGATCTAGTTTTACTTTTATATATCCTGTGTTTCAAAAGGCTAATTCATTTCAGTACTTTGATCATTTTTATTTTATTTTATTAGCTTTTTAATAATAAATTAGATCCTGTTCGTCAAATATGTAAACAAATCATGGAAAATGTAACGAATGAAACAATCAACTTAGATTTACGTAGTTTAGTTCATCGTGAATTGGATTTAGAATATCATTATGTAAGTTTATTTATTTATATTTTTTTGAAAAAAAACTTTCATTAATCTTTAAAACACAGAAATTGTGAGATAACTAAATTTCTAACATTATTGTTTTATCAGAAGGGGTTTTGTGGAGATTTTAGCAATTTCAATGTTTGCAGTATTTCAATATTTACTGTCTAGTCGCATGCAAGCTGTGTGCTGTATCACACGATTCGCCAGATATGTGGAGGTCTTTATAATCTAGTAGACCACCAGAAGAAAGAGAAAAGGGAGAATAATCAACCTTGTTTGGAACCGGTCTTCACTTGGGATGCGTCTGTCAGCTGTCCTCCATCCACGACTTTGTAGTGTAGTCCATCGTCAGAACTCTGCATGATGTTGACAGTTTTCTTAGGTACACCATAGTGTCGAAGAATGTTCTGTAAGACTCTTCCATCCACACTGTCGAACACCTCAGTCAATAAAGTTGATGTTTAGTGACGAGTTCCATTCAGTTGATTGTTCAACGATGATCCGTAGTGTTGCGATTTGGTCTGTGCACGACCGACACTTACGAATTCCGGTCTGTTGTTCGCATGGTTGGACGTCTACTGAATCTTTCGCCCGGTTCAGCAACACTATTGAAAACGTTTCCTAGTATCGATAGTAACATGATCCCTCCGTAGTTCTCACATTTGCTCAAATCTCCTCTCTTTGGTATCTTGATGAGGTACCATTCTTTCTAGTCTGTCGGTGGCATTTGTTCTTCCAAATCTTCTTGAATAGAACATGTATCATTTTTGCAATTACTTCTATGTTTGCCTTGAGTGCTTCAGCTGGTATATTGTCAGGTCGTGGTGCTTTGCCACACTTGATTTGTCTGATTGCCATGCTGATTTCTTCGATCGTTCGTGAGGTAACAGCTATAGGGTGGTATGTGTGTGTTGCTTCAATATCCGATGGATTGAACGGATCTGGTCTATTCAAGAGTTCTTCGAAGTGTTCCACCCATTTGTTCCTACATTATCGAATTTCAGTGATTGGCTTGCTTTCTTTGTCCTTGACTGGTCGCTCTGGTTTACTTTATTTCCCTTCTAGTTTCTTCATCGTGTCATATGGTTGTTTTATATCCTTCTCTCACAGCTTTCCCCGATGTCGTCGCTATCTCTCTCACATATTTCTACTTGTCAGCCCTAATGCTGTCTTCGCTTGCTTGTGTCTTGACTTTCTATGTTCTTTTTCCACTATTGTTAATTACTGCATTCTTGTTCTTCCTTCCTTGAATCCTGCCTTAGGTTTCGATAGAAATCCATTCCTTATGATGATGCTTCTTGCGGCCCAGAACCTCCTTACACGTTGAAGTTAGTGTTTCTATGATCCATTTCCAGTTGTTTTCTATAGTAGATTCCTCTCTGAATAGATCTTGTAAGGCTTGGAACATGTTGTTTGTCAGTATCTCAAGGGAAGGCTTTATTAAACCTTTGTAATGCAAAGGTACATAGAAAGAATATAATATACCAGACAAGATTAAACTGAAAGATTTCTTGTAATATACTCGAATTAGTTTATTTGTATTCATAATTCTTCATTTTCAATTTTTCATTATCTAACAGAATGAATATTTCAATCAATTAATCAATGAACAATTACATCAATTGGCAATGTCTTCTTTAACTTTATCCATTGCTACTTCATTATATAATTATTCATTATTAAAATGTTGTTTTAATCGTTTTCATTATTTAATATGGAAACGCAATGAATTAATGGAACAAGAAATTTTATTAAATACAATGCCAACATCAGTTAGTAGTGATTGTTTGCCATTATGCTTAATGATTAGTAATAATAATAATAATCAAATGAATACTAATGAAAATGTATCTACTTTGAAATTGTTGAAACATTCAAGTTATTCACGAATTTCATTGGAAATGCTAAAAGTAAGTTGGGTTTTTTGTTGTTGTTGTCGTCGTCGTCAATTACTAAGATGTATTTACAATATCCATACTGCTTTATTCATTTATTTATTTAAACACATAAACATTGGTACAACGGGGTACCAAGTAGATATGCGCTACATAAATCATTCAATTTGTGTGAGGGCTGTGATACTTCTCAAGTACCCAAAACGAAGCAGGTGGTTTTCTTACGGGGCCACACCCCGAACCTTCAATCTAAAGGTCTAATCCACAAGGTAGTGAAGCAACGTCACGAGATGCAGTCCCATGGTAGCCGGCATTTGTTCCTTCAGGATACTGGATCTCATCTACACCATTGATTTGGGATGAGGGTTTTACAACTCCACTAGATCGACACTCCACGTCCATCAACCCGGTTAGAGCGTCAAACATTCGCTTTTCATATTCTCAATTTCGTAAACAATACCCGCGTTGCGAGAAGGCAGTGAGTAGGAGTTCCCTGTCAGTGATTGTATGCACGTGGCCATGTGAGAGTGTTTCGAGAGGGAGAGCTAACTCTCCTCACCCTCGGCTGTACCAGGGCATTTGAAGTTTGAGTTCTAAACTGAAAGTTACGTTTATCGAAAATGCAAAGTACATAAAATTGGTTTGAAATTATGAAAATCTAATATGTTGAACTATGTGTCATGATGGAAAATTTAGTGGACGATGTAGTTAATTTGGTCTTTACATAGCGAATGTTTTAATTCTCTAGTATACAAATCTTTTCATAGTTCAAAATAAATTATGTCACATCATTTATTTTAAAATCTTCTGTGACTCAATGTATGTAGCACCAATGTCGTACTTCGTATAAAATAAATGTTTACAAAAGCGTATACTTTATTACGATATCATCTACATCAAAGTCAGAAAAAATCTTAAAGCAGTCGCTATGACAGTCCATGAATTTGTACATGAACATTATTTTTCTTATTGTTAGTTTTCGATTTCATCTACGATATGTGAGTTACATGAATTTTGTTGTTTGATGTAAAAAAAAATATTACCACTTGGATTTCATCCATCCTTAGGCTGTCGTTCCATTTCCAAACTATGACATCTACTACAAACAATCCAACACCCATTATGTTTTATTGTTTTGCTCTTCATATAATGTGTTGATTGTAACGCATTAGGCCGTTTTACTTAGTTATTGTACCATCATTTCACATCACATAATCGAACAGGAATACAATATTATTCACATGTCTTATGTCACTTTGAAAGTTTATTTCTTGTTTTATGTTTTTATACTTCGTATAATATTAGTAAGGATTAGTAATCAGTATTGTGGTGTATGCTACTTATGCTGACGGATATAAGTAGTGTGTAGCATCAGTCGGAAGTGGGAATGCCTGGAAGCAGGAAGATACTGAAATGAAGAGAATAGGAAGGAAATCTAAGAGCAATAGAAACAACAACAGAATTAGAGGGATAGTGAAGTATGTAAGGGACAACGCAAAGAAGATTTGCAAATGATGTATTTAATGTATGATTACCATATTTTACTAAGTTGCTGTATGATTTTTCATTGAAGTATGAATTAGATTTGAAGTTGTTTTTCATATTTTGCAAATGCTAATGATTATGATTGTTATGAACCCGTTGAAACAAGTTTCATATCAATCCTTTGTTCTTATATGTATTCTTCCTCTGTTCACTATTTTTAATTGTCAGAAATTAAAAGTGTATATTCGTTTCGTATTTCAAGTAGACATCATACATCTGTAGTGGTATTTCTTAAGGCGGATCATGAAATATTGTAAGTTTGTGCTTTGTTTCTTTATCCTCTTCTTATTGGGGATGGTTGGAAGAAAGTTAGGGTCGGCCAAACTAAAATGTGGTATCAGTACTTGAAGTCAATAACTTCTAGTCTGAGCCATGTTAGTAGATGCAAACTACTTGGTTGAGGTCCATGTGACTATCTTAACCAATAGTTGAAAACTCTGTGTGACATGGCTTAGAATCTATCACAATGGCGTAGGTGTATACACTCTTTTTCCTCCTCTAAACTATGAGATTAAAATTGCTTTATATCTTTCTTTCTACCAATTAATTCTTTCTTCCTGTACTATGTCCTCATATACAATCTTTCTTTTATATATTACCACCATTGAATTATGAATCTGGTGTTCATCTTGTTTTTCAAATGAGTGAGGTATGGCAAACTTCGACCGATGCATATATGTGCCTAATCCTACGTTGTAGTTGACTGACTGAGGTGTCTAAATCTGACTCATTTATAATATTCATGTTTTTGGCTAATACTGTGGGAGAGAACAAACCAGATCCCAGCGGAGGAAGAAATCAGGAAGAAGCAGTGGAAGTGGATAGGACACACATTGAGGAAAGCACCCAACTGCGTCACAAGACAAGCCCTCGCATGGAATCCTCAAGGCCCAAAGGAAAGGAGGAAGACCAAAAAACACATTACGCCGGGAAATGAAAATAGACATGAGAAAAATGAACAAGAATTGGATGGGACTAGAAAAGAAGGCCTAGGACAGAGTGGGTTGGAGAATGCTGGTCGGCGGCCTATGCTCCTTTGGGAGTAACAGGAATAAGTAAGTAAGTAGGTTTTTGGCTAATAATAAAATGAATATTAAAAGCAAATTTTATTTGATATTTTCATTTGTTTGTTCATTTATATTCTTATTATTTACTTGTTTTCTCTAGTTAGATAATGAACTTACTTGGTCTCCTTTGAAACTATCCTCAATATTCTATAAATATCCATTAGGATTATATAAATCTATGTTGATACCTACTAATTATTGTTCAAGTATTATACAACAACATTTTACAAATATTTTTTATTGGATTACTGAAAAATTAAAACATTCATCTATAGTTCTATTAAATGAATGGTCAAATTCATCAATAATATTCAATAAATTATCAGGTATTATCATTATTGGTTACTTTGATCATTCAATCACTAAAGAACAATTAATGTCCATGTATTTAACTGATATAATGAATAACTATGATAAAGATATAATTAATCGTTTATTGATTTTAGTTGTAAATTATTCATTACAAGAAATTCCTTGTTTATCATCATCATCATCATCATCATTTGAAAATGTACAGAATAATTATGACGATGATATCTATTTTGTACGTTTATGTAATCCTATTACATTTGGACAAAAAAAATTTCAACCTAGTCCATTTTGGTCAGTGAATTTACAGCATGGTCTTAATTGGATAGAAGAATGTTTTATAAAAAAATTAATCATTTCAATCATAGTGATCATTACACATTTCAAAATGGACATAATGCTAATGCAAAATATTCCTTGTTATCATCATCATCTCTATTGAATAGTGAAATTACCATCTTGTGTACAAAGTTGTATAGTTTAATAAATGAATACATTGATATAGCATTATTACGTCCATTGGGTAATTTGTCTAAAAGTTGGAAGTTGCACGGGCTTGTTGATCCAGTAAGTAGATTTACATGTGATGTAATTATTACATATACCATGCATTTAGCTAAACAAACTAAAAAATTTCATACACATAATAGTTCCCTTTATTATCTTAAATAGAGCAAGAACGAGGATTGGTGCAGAAATCTGATCGTAATATCATTTTATATCATCATTTCACTTAATATTTCGTAATATTGTTAGCTGGTCTTTGGATAAAAGCTTAGACTGCGGTGTGTTTGAAACGAGATATTGGGTTGCGATATCAACTAGCTTATATTTAAACCAACCTTTCTTCTCTTCACTAAATGGATGCCTTTCTTTAATTTGATGAAATACATTCTCAAATTGAGTTTCTGTGTCGATTCTGTCGGCATGTATTTCTGGGATATGAAATTTAAATCCAAGCGGCAAAGCTTCTGACTTAACTTCACTATTGATAGATTATAAAGAAATTTTTCGGGGTTTTTCGGAAAACCAAAGCATAAGTGTTCCTTTGACAAAGTTACGTGGAAATTCTTGTATATTTCTCTTTGCAGACCGTGGACAAAGTTGATAAATTTTATGCCACATACGATAATTAGATCGTTGACTAATTCATCAAAGGCATTAGTTTCTGCCCTCAAACGTGTTCGACCAGTAACTTTGTTCGGTCTATGTGAGATTTTGTGATGCGCCGAAGAAATGTTTCGAATAATAGTAATATATTTAATTGAGACAGTTATAAATTGTTATTATGACTCTTACTGTCCCAATCAACATAGTTGTTTAAAGTAGTAATGTCCAAGCAGGTACTACCTTCAAAGAATGAAGCCAAAGAATTTTGGCCTGAATTGGTAAATACCTTACAATGTTAAAAACGGAAATAATGTTACGTTTCACGATTATGTTAAATTGTGCTAGTGGACGGAGAATAAATACGTCTGTAATGCGAAAGTGTTCAAGACTTGGGGATGCTTAAAGAGTGGAAAGATTATTGTGATTGATTGCTTTTTAGTCATCTTCCTGGATGCTTCGGAAAATTCGTTTCTAACTTCTTAAAGATGTCAGCAATCAAGAGTTTAAAAAATATGAAGTTTTAATGACTAATTGGCGTAATTTGTTGTCTACAAGGAATTAGCCTTACTGAAATTATTCTTTTTTCTAAAAGAAATATTATTACGACAACATTCCAGTCATATCAACTGCCTATTCTTACAGTTTGACTCCACTCCCATTATTTCCAAATTATTCACAGTATGGTGACAGCTATTTTTGACGTACTACTACGTCGATAGCTGATGCTTACAGATACTGTCCAAATATTAACAAAGATATTGAAGGAAATGCCAAAAGTGTGCACAGTTATCAAAATTACCCGTCAAAACGGAACCAAAACTGTCCACGAGAATATCAGAACTTTCGACTCACCTTCATGTATATTTCCCTGAATTAATCTAAGAAAATAAGTTTCATGTTGTTCGTGATTCATTTTCAAATTTCCCTAAAGTTTTCTTTTAATGGACACGATTTTCACGTACATTATGGTGTAATGTCTTGAAATCATAATCGATTATTGCCCTGAAGAAGTCGAGACACTTTTGTTAGATGAAACGTTAGAATTATTTAAATTTCAATCGTTGAAATGACTTCTGTATACTAGGCGCTTAATTTTTTGTGAAAATATTCGTTCTAATATTGACGAATATTCATATGATTCATGATGAATTGTTTTAGAATACCAAATACTTCAATAAAACAGTTTGTTTTCAACCATTTTGAAGCATCCCTTTGAAAAATCAGTATTAAACTTGTTAGGGCTTCACCATTTCATCTCCAATTATGTTGTTGATATTGACACGAATGAGAAGAATGAACATTTATATAGTGATTAAAGTTTATTTAAACAGAATTTACCCATTGAGACATAAAATAAAAAAGTTCATTTAACACTATCATTAGATTAACAGATTATCTTACACTACTTAGTGTATATTGATTAATCACTCTAATCTAAATAAACTAACTGGTCAATCAACAACTTATTGTAGAACACTATCCAGGTGCCTAAACCGCAGAAGGTGGTTATCTTAGGGGACCTTACCCGCAGCCTTCAATCTGAGGTTCTGATTCACAATGAAGTGGAGCAACGACAGGAGATGTAGTCCCATGGTAGTCGGTGCCCAACGATTGGTTCAGGATACTGGAGCTCATGTGTACCATTGATTTGGAATGAAGGTTTTCCAACTCCCCTAGATGGACTCTCTGTGCCCACTGACCCGGTTAAAGCGCCGAATATTCGATTTTTGTCCTCTGAATTCCGTAAACAACAATAAGGCAGTGAGTAAGAGTTCCATGTTAGTGATTTTATGCATGTGGCTATGTGTGAGAGCATTTCGAGATGGAGACTTGTCTCTCCCTACTCTCGGCCCTACCCAAAGCATTTGATTGCCCCCAACTTATAAACCATTATTTAGCCAGTAATTAGCATGCGATCAATTTGATGATCTCAAATCAAAAATTAACAGTTCCCTAATAAAGTTAGACATTAACACCATTGGATGCCGGCGAGCTCAGTGGTCTAGTTGGTTAGGCGCTTGGCGCGAGACTGATAGGTCCTGAGTTCCAACCTCGCGGGGTGCGGAATCGTGGATGCGCACTGCTTAGGAGTCGCATACTAGGACGAAACGGCCGTCCAGTGCTTCCAGGTTTTCCATGGTGGTCTAACTTCAATTGACTCATGATTTCAAACTGTGAAATTTCTAAAATCTCCACAAACCCCTTCTGATAATTCTCCATAACTTCATAATGATTTATTATATTTCTTCTATATATTTTAATTGTTTACTTTTTGACTTTCTTTTTTTTTGTTTTAATTTTCAGTCATTAAAATCTTTAATTAATGAATATCATTCTACAATCTCCTATTTATTGAATCAATTGAATCCTATTCATCAAACTCTTACGAATCTATTACAGAATATACTTATTCTACCAGAAAATATTCTTCATTTATTATTCATTGATTTATATGAAGATAATAAAATCAATAAAGAAACTAATGACGTTACCATAACAACTAAATGGAGTATTTATCTTGAAAATTGGTTAATTATATCCAAACAATTAAAATTAAATTCATCAATTAAAAATTGGATATTGACATTATTTCATAACATTGAAAAAGATTATTTTATGCAATTAAAAAATCAATTATTCAATTCTATTATTTATTCATCATCATCATCAATGAAGAATAATGAATTATATTTACCGCCAATTTATTTAGCGCCTAATTTAAATGTATTTTTTGTTTTAATTTATCATTGTTTAAATAATTTATCAAAATTATTATTAACTATGAATAATGAATTATGTAATCATAATCATAATGATAGTGAAGAATTTAATAAATTAATTGAAATGTCATGTATCATAACAAAGTTAATTGATCAAATGAAATCAAACAATATTGTAAATCAGTTAATTGAACACTTCAAAAAATTAGGTAAGTGTTATATATATATATATATATATATATATATATTAACGTTTTTTTAGCGAGTTAGTTTTCTACGAGATGGGGTCACTAACCCCATGCCCAACCCTCCTCCTTTACCCGGGCATGGGACCGGCAGTAGCCCCCGGAGGGACTCCAGGTGGAGTTTTATATATATATATATATATATATATATATATATATATATATAATCCTTTATTAGTCAATAAAAACATGCAGACTCTTCCGATAGATGGTAGATACAGACTACTACCACGACGTGCAATGCTAACCGGTGTAGGAGATGGTTGGAAGAAAGTTAGGGGTGGCCAAACCAAAACGTGTCATCAGTGCTTGAAGTCACTGACTTCTAGTCTGAGCCATGTTGGTAGATGCAGACTACTTGGTTGAGGTCCGTGTGACAATCGTAACCAATGGTTGGAGACTGTGAGTGACATGGCTTAGAATCGATCACAATGGCGTCGGTGTATACACTCTCTCTCTTCTCTTAAACTATGAGACTAAAATCGCTTTATATCTTTCTACGTACTAATTCTTTCTTTCTGTACTATATCCTTATATGCAATCTTTCTTTTGTATATTACCACCTCTGAATTAACTACTTTTATGAATCCGGTGTCCATCTTGTTGTGTTAATGATGTATGACATCTTGGACTGATGCATATATATGCCTGGTCCTACGTTGTAGCTGACTGACTGACTTGGTTGAAGTCCACATGACTATCGTGACCATTGGTTGGAAACTCTGAGTGACATGGTTTAGAATTGCTCATACTCATTGTCTTTCATCAAATTATGAGATTAAAATTACTTTATACTTTACTTTCTACAAACTAAATCTTTCTTCCTGTACTATATTCTTATATACAATCTTCCTTTTATATATTACTAGTATCGAAGTCACTACTTCTATTAATTCGGTGTTCATCTTGCTGTGCTAATGAGTGAGGTGTGGTAACTTGGATCGATGCATATATGTGCTTGGTCCTACGTTATAGTTGACTGACTGACTGAGAGTCTTCTGACTACTGTAAGCAACAATGCAAGCATGTTCGGCATGCGATTCTCGCCATTCTCGAAATGCAAAATGTTGCTTCAGGATTAGGTTGAATTGACACCTGAACTAATGGTAGAAAGTAAAGTAGTAGAGCGTGTCGACTGCTTCACTTATCTTGAAAATCTCATCTGCCCTTGTGGTCTGGTGTGTGACGAAATCTCAGCACGGATACGGAAGGCTTAACTAGCTTTTGCCAACTTGGGTCATTTATGGCGTAGGCGAAATATCCATCTACCGACCAAATGACGGGTTTACTGCGCAGCAGTTCGTTCCGTCCTACTTTATGGCTGTGACACATGGCCCGTTACGTATACCCAACCACCAATAGAAGTGATCAAATAATTATAAGTTTCCTTGTTGTAATTATAGAGATTAACTAAGAGGATTCGACCGTTGTTGCTACCTTGACGTGATGGTCGGGCTTGCCTATCGTGATGAAGTAACCAAGCTATACTGGCTGGAACAACCGTTCCTCAAATCCCTACCATGCCAGACAGGTCGGTTGAAGAGCGGTAAGACTAAAAGCAACAAACCTAAGGTCTGAAGGCGAAGTCATACTACTGACTGTACAGAGGTGCGGCAGCAGTAAGTTTTTCCTTCAGACAACCAGGATGACAGCGATGCTGCCTTCCCACAAGGAGGGATGGTTTAGAAAAGGTCGACTATAAGAATGCACACCTCGCCTCAGCCCACGGATATTCGTCTCCGGTGGTAAGGTCTCAACAAGTGCGGAGCTAACACAAAAATTACCCACATAAAGGTCGTGTGTGACCAACCTCAAGCAGTTGTCCTTTGGGCACTGCGGTCACGCTCTCAGGTCACTAAGACCACTACTAATCCAATTTTCTTTTCAAGTACCTCTGGACCGAGCCCTTCCACAGTGTGAGCAACCGGGAAGTGATAACCGCCCTCACACCACTCAAGACCACAAACTAAGAGGAATAGTTCTGTATATTAACTGACTTGTTTCTCTTTTACGTATGATTATTTTGTTGTTGTTTATTTTAGATGAACCATGTATGACACGTTCAAATGCAATTAATTTGTCATTAGATAATTTACGTAGAAATCAAATAGAAACTTGTTTACAATCTGTACGTAAACAAAATTCATTTACATCCATTAAACACAAAGAATCATTATCAATGAAAATGTATCAATTATCTTCAAAAATTCGTAAAATTGAAAATTCTATGAATGATGCCATTCAAGAAACTATGAAATATCAATTAAAAAACAACTCCCCTAACTGAAGAAAATCTTTATATATTTTGGATTTTCTTCACTTCAATAATAGATAATGTAATTCTCTATAGTTGTTGTTTTTATTATTTATTATTATTATTATTATTGTACATTCGTTTTATTTTATATCATTTTTTAATGTATGAATAGCCTGTACACATGAATAACTTTTACATCCTTAATGTATTTGAGAATTCTTCATTGTTCGATACTCATATTACAGAGTTCTTATAAATTCTTTCCCCCCACCCTCGCTTTTCCTATGCTTCTTCTCACCATTCGAACGTTTATCCTTACCAAATAAGTAGGCCCCCAAATAACCTGGTACGACCGAGAGTGGGGAGGGCCCTCCCTCGCTCTCGAAATGCTCACACACGGCCATGCGTACACAGCCTCTACCAGGGAAGTCCTAATCACTGCCTTCTCGCGGCATTACTGCTGTTTACGAAATTGAGAAGACGAGAAGCGAATGTCCGCCGCTTTAACCAGGCCGGTGGACACGGTGAGTACACCTAGGGGAGTTGGGAAACCCTGATTCCAAACCAATGGTTCACATGGGCTCCAGTATCCTGAAAGAATAAATGGCGTATTAACCAATCGTTGGTGACTGGCTACCATGTGACTGCATCACCTCACGACGCTCCACTGTCTTGTGGGTTAAACCTTTAAGTCAAAGGCTCGGGGTATGGTCCCCCAAGGAAACCACCTGTTTCGGTTTGGGCACCTGGGCAGTACCACAGCCCTCACACAAATCTGATGAGATGACAATTAATAAATAATAAGGTGAATATCGGTTAACGTCATCATAAGACCTAGCACAAATATGTATTGGTCCAAGTTTACACATCGCTTTATTATCGCGGTGACTGAGAAAATTAGTAAGACATAAAATAAAGGAGGGGAGTAATTTTAAGTTTAATGAAAATCTAAAGATAATGAATATACTTCAATGAAACAAATGAGACGAAAGGATGGATAGCTAGGTCAATCAGTCAGTAACAATGTAGAACTTCGTACGTACGTTCATCAGTTCGAGTTGCCATACTAGATAAGCATACAGGTACAATTGTCGATTCAAATCCCATAGTGGTAGAGGTAGTAAGAGTATAAGCAGTAATCGGAAAGATTAGAGTTTGAACATGTTATTCAAGGAGTATAATCCAGTGAGATAAATTTGAAAAGAGAAAAAATAAGGGACATGAATGTTATAACTTGTCAGTTGAATGCTACTTGTTATATCTGGTCGTCGCTAATGTTATGTTGGAAACACTTATCACATATACTCGGAACGAGGGACCTCCGGAATTTCCACAACGCGAAAGTAAGAACACAAAGACTGGTATAAGTGAAGATTTATTAACCCAAAAACACGACGATGGCCTAGTCGAAAGCACACATTTATATATTGATTGTACACACACCCATTTGATTAATAATTAGGATGAAATCACATCTATGAAAAATACTTAGAGTTATAACAAGTCACATACTGAGCATAGTTCATATCGATGGAATACAAGAATATCGTTACTAGACAGAATGAAATATCATACCGGGAAAACAAAACAACTACATTGAGTAATCATTACATTGAATCAGAAAGGAAGTAATATTGAGTAAATCAATCGAATGTTGACTTTTCCCGTCATATCAATGAAGAATTTAGGAAAGCACAAAGAGTGGATGCACGTGCGCCACTGCAAACGATTTTGAGCCATGTATTCAAGGTCTCTAACCATCAGTTGCTATCGTTTCACGGATCCCAACCAGGTAGTCCACATGGATAGCTAGGAATAACGCTTTATTCAAAATCAGTAACTGAGATCGATTTTGTACTGTGATCTAACTCCTTGAACTATTGGATGTCTGGGGCTTAATAGTTAATTCTTAACAATCGAAATAACTTGGTCTCTGAATTATACGTTAGATGTGCTTTTTACTAGATTTAAATAGACCCTATATTGAAGTCATTGGACATGTTTACTTCAGACTAAGTTATCCTTTCGTAATTAATCCCTATCGTTCTTACGAATATATACTTATTAAAATGTGTGTGATTGTACCATCCTCTTGTTTGACGTCACAACATTTCATCCAAAGTAGGTGGATAGTTTCATCCCTATAGATCAGAAAAGATAATCTGAATTCTCAAAAAATATAACGTACTCACTCTGAAGTTCACGACACTCAGCACATCTTTTCTGTTATTCTTGTGGATCCGTAGATAAACTTCTTGATGATTGTAACTTTCCGTGTTTTTGAACTTGCAAGATTACGTTCACCCAGTCAGTATTTTATGGACTCAAATAGTCTGTCATCTGACCTGTTGTGTAAAGCACGCACGCTGTAAAACTGAAATTTATTTCCATATCTTTTGTTTCACATTTTTGTCGGTACAATATATCGGGCGAAACCAAATCGGATTTTCAAGGTCGTACAGTAGGTCAGACAAAATTGTAGGTATGCTATAATAAGTAAGTCATTCATCTAGCCTATGTTAACATATCTCTTTCAGAGTCAATGTGTCTGTCTGTAAATACTTTTATTTTGATTGGGTCAGTTGAACGTTTGAAACGCGAGTGGTGAACAATCTGGACTATCTATCATAACAACGTTCTGGTAATGGTAGTTCACAACAATTCAATGAATCCATCAGATTCATCAGAACTCTAATCATTTTAAAAGCAGCACTGTAGCTTCAACCAAGTGTGATACTGAGGCCCTCACTTCTATCCAATCCAGCTTCATTGTCTCGTTTACTATGATTAAATGACAGCACTGTTGTTTCATTATAGTTTCAGGACGTGCGATATTTATTTCTCAGTTTAAAAATTATAAAACTGTAACCAATTGTGATTCAGAATGGAAATATATGTGGTCAAATTATCAACACTCTTATCTGTTATTAAATAGGTATGAACTGTTAAACATTATGAATTCGTACAACCTTTTCTAGTTTGATTAATTCTGTATTTTAATAGTTGAGATCATGATTTAACTGAAGCTAGGTCACCATGGAAAACCTGGAAGCACTGGACGGCCGTCTCTTCCTATTGTAGAACTCCTCAGTAGTGTGCATCCATAGTGATATAGCTTTAATTGACTCATGATCTCAACTACAGATGTATTAGAAATGTTGCTTGCATCTGCTGGAATCACTAGATAAGTAATAATGAAGTTATATGCATGGTATTAGGGAATGATTTCTAGTTATGTCCATAACTAACCAATCAAATCCTTGCTTAAGCGCCCGTCACGTCAGTCTTGTCTGATTTGTCTGTAGACTGTCTCTGTTGCATGTGACCTGCCAATTTAAGGGCATTGTCATCCTATTGTATTAGTGTGACTCAATTTTTATTCATTTCGATAAGAAATGCAATACTGGTCGGTGTGTTTGTGCATTCCACTTAATGACTATAATTCCTTTAATTATTTTACTAATCTAATTGCTTTTACGCTTAGAAACAGATAAAGTTTAAAGCTAAGTTGTCCTTGTTCTGACTATAGCTTTCACATAGACTCTGTGCTCGCCAGTATCGCGTTTACAGTTTTAGTAGTATATCTGTAGGACAAGTTAAATCTTTCAATGATGGTAAGTCAGTTGATGAGGTTGTGAATCTTCATCGGCCGATATGGTTGGGCCACGTGTTACACCTACCCAACCACCAATTGCCACGGCCTGCAATGCTGATCAGTTTTGGAGATGGATAGAAGAAAATTAGGGGCAGCAAAACCAAAACGTTGCATCAATCCCTAAGGTCACTACCTTGTGGTGTAAGCCATGTTGGTAGATTCAGATTACTTGGTTGGAGTCAGCGCGACTATTATAACCGGTGGTTGTAGACTCTGGTTGGCATGGCTGAGAATCGGTCACAATAGAGTAGGTGTATGGACTATTTGTATTCCCTTAAACCGTGAGATTGAAGTAACTGCTTCCATGAATTTAGTGCTCATCTTGTGCTAATGAGGTGTGGCAACTTGGACCGATACATCTATGTATTTGGTCCTACGCTGTAGATGGATGACTGACTGGAAACAGGACAAGAGAAAACATCGAATTAAGACTATACGGTGGTAATGGTATAATACTTCTGCAAGGTACCTTCATTCATTACTAATCACTAGCGATGAAACTCTTATATCCCAACGGGAATTATGAATGGTAACTTTTGAGAACTATTTATGGTTACGGCGTAATGACTTATATGCCGTAATAATGTTCATCCAAACAGAAAAACATTAAAACTATTTATGGATCAATACCATACATAAATTTTGACTATATAATTAGTAAGTAGCTAAACTAAGCATATTCATGTTACTCTTATTAAAAGCTTTATTTTAACTCAGATTATTATTATACGGTTTATCGTTCTTTAGTTATGCCCAGTCTATTAATTACACTCTCTCACATTCACAGCCATTTTTAGCTAGATCTTGTTCAAATGTTGTTTTCTATTTTGTGGTGAGATGTGGTTTGTTTGGTTTGTATATAAACCCCGTTTATTTGAAATACATGATTCATATTCCAAAGTCTGAGGCTTGTGTTCTGGACTCAACAGGCAGGAAGAATGACCGATAAACACTTTCGACTGCTCGTACGGGTTTGCGCGTTATTATTCCGGTCGATAAATCACTGTTCTCTAATTGACGTTATCATTACGTTATATATTAATAGAGCACAAAGCCACAAGTTATAAGAGAAAATGAATGAGTAAAACCCTAACTGCTAATTACTTACAGCTGGTATAGTGTTTAGTGGCTCAAAGGTCTGACTCTAGGTAGATGGTTTGCTGCTTGTTATCGAAATATACATTTCGTCAATCCTTGCATATAATTATTGAATTAACTCGCGTTAGTGAATAACGGAATTAAATAAGTCAAATACAAGAATGGATTTCGAATACGTATATTTCATACAGTCATTAATTGAAAAGTGAAGTAAAACAAAATGACGCTCGATGGAGAAGGCGAGTGAGCCAACACGATTTAATCAAACATGAATCTA